TCAACTCGCTGGACAACGCGCGGACCATGCGTAGGACCAGTCGATTTACCACCTCCACTGTCCCGTTCGCCCATGGACAGTGGGGGGTGACGAAGTGGTGATGGGCGCCGAGCATCCGAAGCAGCTCTTCTATTACTTGGTTCTTGAAGTGCGAGCCACAATCGCTAACCCACGTTGATACGACACCAAATAGTCCGAACCAGTCCAACAATGCCGTCGATGTTGCCTGTGCAGTCGCATCATCACCAGGGTAGAGGAGGACATACCCGCTCATGTCGTCTTTGACAACTAGCAGATACCGCCAGCCGTTCACCTCGACTGGCATCTGGAGCCAGTCAAAGTGAATGAGCTCGTTGGGTCGGTCGGCGTGCAGCGCCTGTCTCCATGGCCGGGGCTCCACCACCCCATCCACGACCATGCAATGCATGCAGGCCTTAACGAAAGCCTCGACGTCGGCATCAACACCCTTCCAATAAAACAGCTCCGTGATGGTTTGTTTGGTAGCTTGAGTGCGACGGTGCCCGCCTATTCCCGCATGAGCGACCAGGCATAATCGTTGTTTTATGTCCACACAGCCGCTCGGGATCCACGTGGCATCCGACAGCATGACAGAACGTTCTTGTCGACTGACCACTTGACGAGGGATTTGTCATCAATGTCGGCTGACACATCGCAGTCGAGGCAACTGCGCTGAGCGCGGACGAACTCGTCCAGGGCGGCCACTCGAAGTTGTTGGAGCGCAATGGCGACACCAGTTGGACCAGTCGGTAGACACGTGAACGGTTGGCGTCGCGGTTCACCGTGCCCCACCGACTCAGGAGGTCCCCCCAAACGTTTTCGTCCCCCGCGATCGGCTCGATCACGTAGGGGAACGTCGACATTACCATGGACAAGCGTTGTAGCTTGTTGGCCTGATACTTGGCGATGTGTGCACCACCACCACCAGTTGGAACATGTATACCAAATTCCGATGGTACGTGAATAGGCGGAAACCAACCGGACGCAACAGCAGGTACTCGAAGCGCTTGCAAGCCTCGACAATGGCAAACGACCAGAGCGTTGGGCGTGTCCAGAGGCAGAAGAGGGTTGCGGAGAACGCGGCCCGTGTCGAGTTCGAACGGCGACACGCCCGTGGACGTCTGGACGAGGGCTTGATGGGCGTACTCAATGGTGGCTAAGTGGTCGGCCCAGTCCGTGCCCAAATAGGACGTCTCGCAGCGGAGCGAGTCTTCAAGCGTCCGGTTTTGGCGTTCCGTGGCCCCATCGGCCTGGGCCCGGCCTGCCGTGGTCATGCACTGCTGGACG